TTGTTAAACACATACATTCGGTGTAATATGAACCATTTCTAACATGGAATTGGAATTCGAGGTTGAAAGTTTTTTTTACAAGTTAATGTCTAGAGGGACGGCCGAAAACACAATCGGCAAGGTCTTCGTCGATGGCAGTAACACGTTACAGGCAATCCGCGGGTGGTCGCCCTGCAGAAGACAAGAGACAGTTTTATAATGTCCAGACTCGCACACCCTCGGCATCGTGGCCAAGTAACCTCGAGGCCCCGAGTGGTGTACGAGAAAAAAATACAGATGTTGCTCTAAGAATATACGAAAAGGAACGCGACCTCCAAGACATTTTCCCATGCAGTCTTTCCTTCCCAAAAAGTATTGACCATGAAAGAGTGGGGATCGACCTATTACGCCACATCGATCCTAACGAGGGAGGATCAGTTCAACAATATCAGTCGTCCTTTCCGAACGGTGCCCTTTGCATTCTACGAGCAAATAGAGTTCATGTTCGGAAAACTAAGTTTTAGTATATTTAGTGATTACGTAGTGATTATTTAGTAGTGTCGCGTATGTCGTCGTTATAAATAGTGCAAATTAATTATTGTAAGTTTTATTAATTATTGTAGGTTTTATTAAGTATTGTAGATTTTATTAATTATTGCAAGTTTTATTAAATATTGTAGATTTTATTCATTATTGCAGGTTTTATTAAATATTGTAGGTTTTGTTCATTATTGCAGGTTTTATTAAATGTTGTAGGTTTTATTCATTATTGCAGGTTTTATTAAATATTGTAGGTTTTATTAATTATAGCGTGTTAAAAATTAGTATAAAAGTTAGTGTTAAATAGTTTTAAATTAATTATTTTGAGTGTTAGTTTTGTGTAACCTATAGAGTGTTAAACCCAACGGAGGAACAGTTCGCGGGTCTACTTAATCGCGCAGTGTGTGAACATTTTTCGCGGTCGGGACAATCACGCAATGTGTATGGACATATTTCGCGGACGGGACAATGGCTCAGTGTGTGTGGACACTTTTCGCGGACTTCTGTGGTGTACGTGCATGTGCGAATTAATTTCATGGATACTCGTGGACAGGACAATTGTGATACGTAACAACTAGAGGGGGCACTAACCCTCTCTACTCGATAATATTCGTAAGAAGATATTTACATTTCTTGCGAATTTTATCGAGTAATCAGAGTTAATGCGATACAGGTGGATTCGACTCAAATACCGCGGGCACAAGTGATCGACATCTTCTACGGGGTAAGTAAACAGCTGTTCTACCTACTTCTCTTGCACGTCGTTGAGTCTTTAAAGTGACTGTGCGCCCCTGATGAGCCGTGATCCGCTGACACTCCGTGCGCGCGGATTGCCATGATTTGGGTCAATTTTTAAACGCTTATAACTAACAAACGAAGCATTTTTCGCAATTTCGTTATTCTTGATTTTCGTCTTATTTTACCTCAAAGAATCACCCCTTAAATTTTTTCCCACTAGTTGTCGAACACCCTGTATATAAGAGAATATGTATTTGTGCAAATTTAAATATTAAACACAAATAAATACATCTCCCATTTTTTAAAAATGCTTCTTAAATCAATATCTTCGAAGTTTTTATTTTACTGACATATTACAAAATGAAATTATACAATAATTAAAAATAAAAACTAAAACCGTCGCATCGGGATAAGAACGGGGTTTCGGACGGGGTCTTCATCATGAGCGCGAGAGAGAATTCATGCGTTTCTGGGCATTTGGGTTGCTTGCAGTTGCTTGGGATTTTTTCCCGCTCGGCCGTCGCGTCGTAAATATGTGACGTACGTAGATTGTTGCCGAGAACAGCCGACGTCTGCCGAAGGACAGCGCACACAGCAGTGATGCCAGAATCGTGGAACTTGCTTCCACCACCACGACGTCCTGGCTACCCCCACTTTGTTCCACAGTTTCTGCCACACAAGCATACTTTGCTTCTATCCGTGTGAGCTGGCTCGTTCGGGTGTTTCCGTAAGATCTACGTTACCAACGCGACTCCCAACAACCAGAGCGCGTGCGCAGAAATCATTTCGTGTGCTGACGTCCTGGCTACCCCCACTTTACGTCCACCGTGCTGGCACACACACACAAGTATATCCCAGCCCTGTCCATGGGCGCAGGCCGTTCGAGAGACGGTGAGCTATGTTTAGAAAAGAGTGGGGGAAAGCGACCCACGATTCTGGCATCACTGCTTGCCTTGGAAATCCTGTTCGAATACGACTGCGGCGAAAATTCACGTTCTCGACGCGATGCCCCGCAACCTAAGCGCGTGAACAGTCAAGAAATCCTGTTCGAATCCCAATGCGGCGGTTTTACTTTTTATTTTTAATTATTTTATAATTTCACTTTGTAACCTCTAAGTAAAATAAAAAAGTTAAAAAATATTGATTCAGGAAGCATTTAAAAAGAAGAAAATAAATGTTTTCCACTTCAATGTCTAAATTTTTTATTATATACATACATATTATGTTGTATACACATAAATTATTTTTACAATTAGATGTTACCCGCTAAAAACCGCTGCAGCTGGTCCACGTATATGCCGAATGGTCTTTTGCTTTTCTCCATATGAAAAGAAAAAAACACAATTGAAATAGTAATTTTAATAACATAAGATAAAATATTAAGATTGCTATGAACTTATTTTTTTTTTGTTGAATTATTCTGTAATTTCGCTTCCTCACTTTTGAGTAGAAGTTTCGCAGCAAACGAAAGTAACGAAGTACGATAGTCTTTTAAAACTATTTAAAATGTGCCTCATTGTAATATTTTGGAAATTCCTTTATTGCCGGAAATTTTCTTTATTGACAGAAATTTCGACGGCTAACGGTAATGAATTTCTAAAAGCTATTTCAACGGTAAGGGACTTTTAATTTGGTCCATCGTAGACGTCGTCGAATACGTTATTGTTTCATTATGTCAAAAGAGTCTTTTGAAAAGAGGTAGTTAAGAATTTCAGGGGATTCGAAAGAAGTGCTTAGGCGCTCGAAAAAACAATATACTGCTAATAGTGATCCGCTATAGACTTCACAAAGGACCTGTTAAAGGTAACCGTGCGCCCAGTTCCAGGTAAGCGAGCCGCTCGCGCGGCGTTTACGATCGGCCGAATCGTACCAATTGCACCCTTTATTACTTGAAATGAGGTCTAAAAAGATTATCGATAGGTCTCGTACCCGTCTCAGTGGTGTCATTTAAAGTAATATGGATTGCAACTGGTACGATCGGCCAACCGTAATCACCGCGCCTACCTCATAACGTATTATAACGTATAAATAACGTATTCGACGACGTCTACGATGGACCTAATTAAAAGTCCCTTACCGTTGAAATAGCTTTTAGAAATTCATTACCGTTAGCCGTCGAAATTTCTGTCAATAAAGAAAATTTCCGGCAATAAAGGAATTTCCAAAATATTACAATGAGGCACATTTTAAATAGTTTTAAAAGACTATCGTACTTCGTTACTTTCGTTTGCTGCGAAACTTCTACTCAAAAGTGAGGAAGCGAAATTACAGAATAATTCAACAAAAAAAAAATAAGTTCATAGCAATCTTAATATTTTATCTTATGTTATTAAAATTACTATTTCAATTGTGTTTTTTTCTTTTCATATGGAGAAAAGCAAAAGACCATTCGGCATATACGTGGACCAGCTGCAGCGGTTTTTAGCGGGTAACATC